AATTTGGTGGATACATCTTACTTTCGTCGAATTTTTTGCTGGTTCGATCGTAGAAGGTTCTTACAGATGATTTTTCGCGGAAACCATCAGTTACGGTAATCACAGCGGAGTGTTTTGTAAATGGAAAAAATGGCCAGTCATTATTCGCTGAGGTGGATCGCGTGGCACGTGGCCCGGAGAAAGAGTAAATAGAAATAAATGGAGTAGAAAACCTCCACCCAATGAACCTTTTCTAAATCTCTTCGCGAATTCTCACGGTTTGTAGCTTCCAAACTAAAAAAATCCACCGTCGAACACATTAAATATGGTTCAGACAAAGCTCTGTAATTACTTTTGTAAAAATTATACGATTAAAATGTATAAAGTACTGATATTTATTCTGCTTATAACCATCTGCGTAAAGCGACAAAGAATTGTCATTTATCAAGCTTTATACAGTTGATCAATGTTTCTGTAGAAATTGATATTAAAAATCTAGCTGATCGAGCAATAGAGACATTATTTAAGCATTTAGAAAGATTTGTTAAACAAGGGAGAATAGACTTTATTCAAATATGACACCTATGTCAATTAAAATATCTTACCCAACTTGAATAGAAAAATAATTATATATTTTCATTCTTAATAAAGTTGCATGTCTCGTCGAGGTAAAATTCGATTTTGCGCGATCGAACGAGGTTCTCGAATTAACGAAGGTCGATCGTAAAGTTGAATCAACGATCGACCGTTAACACTAGATTTACGGGCACTGATCGCACGCATATTTATTGATACCTTTCATGTTGACGATTACCTTAAAATACGATTTTTCTTTTAATTAGAATAAGTATTCATGCTATTGCATCAAACAAATTCAACATAAGTTGTTAAAAAGTAATATTGACGCGTTCTGCAATTTTAAATATGGAATCTGACATCCGTCAAATTGATGGCTTCCGTAAATCTAGTGTTAATAACACCGTAAGCGCGAACGAAGTAAATCTATGGCAATCGAAGTAATAGAATTCTACGAAACTCGTTACTCGATTGGAATAACTTTCAACGATTTGGGAATTGGAACTTTGCTTTCCTTTCACGCGACGGAATAGCAATTGGCCGAGTGTACTCGATCGATCGTCGACGATCTCGATCGTGCATCGGGATCCCCTGCGGTTGCGGATCTATGTGAGAACCACGGGGGTTTTCACCCTTTTGTTGGGTCACCCAAGCCGACTGTCAAGGTGGGAGAACGAATAGAGATGTGGCGTAAAGATCCAGCAACGCGATTGTAATAACGGCTGACAGACGAAGGTCTCTGTTAGGACTCTAAAACGTTTCATTCTCTCAAAAATTCCTCAAAAAAAGTTTACACTCCATTAGAACTTTAATAAAATCATTTTTTTTTTAATTTTATTTTCTAACAGCGTGAGATGACCTTTTTCAAAAGCAACCATGTTTGACAATAACTTTAGTTGTAGTTTTAGACTTAATACTTGCTCTAGCAGTGTTGATCCTAATACCAGCACTAATACCACCTACGCTGCTCATATTAATAGCAGTTCCAATAATGTATCTTCTAACACTAGTTTTAGTAGCATGATCCTTGATATTATTTTTGGTAATATGAACTGCGTAATACTAGTTTCCACAGGTACACTAGCAGTAGTAATTCTAATACTAGTATTAGTAGTATTGACTCTAACACTTGCTTTAATAGTAGAAGTCTTAATGATAGCACTAGTAGAAGTCTCAATACTAGCTCTAACCAGTAGAAGTCTTAAAATAACAGTAGTTTAATCAGTGGTTATAGATTCCAATCTCGATACTATTTTAAATAGTAATACTATTTTCTACTAGTATACTAGCTGTCCTAACTCTAACACTATACAATACTCTAACACTGTCGACTATAACACTTTCTTTAATAGTACAAGTCCTAATGATAGCACTAGTAGTAGTCTCAATACTAGCTATAGCGAGTAGAAGTCTTAAAATAACAGTAGTTTAATCAGTGGTTATAGATTCCAATCTCGATACTATTTTGAATAGTAATACTATTTTCTACTAGTATACTAGCTGTCCTAACTCTAACACTATACAATACTCTGACACTGTCTTTAATAGCAGAAGTCCTAATGATAGCACTAGTATTAGTCTCAATACTAGCTGTAGCCAGTAGAAGTCTTAAAATAGTAGTTGAATCAATAGTTACAGTCCCCAGTCTCGATACTATGTCGAGCAGTATCAGTCCTTGTACCACAAAAGATTTTAAAACGTCATCGAAACATGCATAAATGAATTTTGTAAATTGAACTGCGAAAGGTGTTAGGAAAAATTCCCCAAAAAAGTTTAAGGAAACGCACTCGACAGCGGATATCCCTTAAAAGGCGATTCTCGAGCTCGAGAATAAGTCGTGAGCGCGACGTAATCGGCCGAGCCTCGACGGAGGAGCAGCAACGAGGCACTTGACTAATGTTCTACCTGTTGTCCCGTAACACCTATGCGCCTACCTGTCCGCTCACCTGGACGCAGACCCAGGCCCCTTCTCGTCGTGCACGTATTCACGCTGGCGGTGCTTGTACGCCGCGTCGGGGCATGCGCGGACACTTAAACACGAAAAAGCTGCCACCCCCTCGCGGGCCCCGGCAGGCAGCTTAGCATTTCAATACGGGACGAGTCAATGCGCGGGGACGCGAGAAAGGGAGGAATAAAGATAGGAAAAGAGGTTGTCGCGAACGCGGAGAGGGCTCCGTAAGAAAGAGTCACGTAAGAGAGTAAGCTTGACTAATGCCAACCGGGGCCGCGGTCGCCGTGTGATCATTATTCATTTGTCACCCGTTGGATCGGTCCCCCGGAATCGGGGCCCTCTGTTTTATTTCCACTTTCCCCGCTGTCTTCTGTTCACCCGAGGACTCTTTCACGTCCTGTTGGTCGCCGTGGGATCTCCGCCGGGATGATTGATTTTTGTGGACGTAGGGTATCGTGGGGGGTAGCGGTTTTCAGAGTCGGATAAACTTTCGTGTGACGAGGAGGACTCCTCGCGACTATTTTTTTGCTTCTGGTATACGTGTTGATGCTTGCGCGAAACGAATACGAAATTTATATTGACGAACGTTTTCGAAGATGTTTGCGGAAAGACGTTGTTAAAAATTCATATCGATAAAATGTTTTTAACACTATTCCTACCGACACTTCACGTATACCTATTCCCACCGCGACCGGTCAAATGACCGGTTTTCAGTACAACTTATATTTTTTAATATAGAATGAAGATAATAACCAATTTTACGGTATAAAAATATAATTTCTTTTATTAAATTATAGAATAAAAATATAAAATAATAAATGACTGCCGAATATGCTCCAGGCAACTTTCACGTTTTGATGCTCTCTGTTCGAATCACAAGACTTTACTGATTTGAATTCGTGTCGTCTAGGTATACCCTTCGGTTATGATTTCATTTATTTTACAGTTATTATAGATAAGATGGTGTAAGAAAATCCGAGGTTTTGGACCACTTTAGATACCAGTCTGGCAAATAAACATCGTAAGGCCGATAGGCGAGTGAGAATTATAAACACTTGGAAGTGCCTAAAGCAGTCTCTGGAAGGCACTTTTCAGCTAAAATCATGCCACAACTGCATTATCTTTCGTTTGTAACGACTTTATAGTTTCAGAATTGAGTCTTCGAGATAATACTGTTACAAAAAGATATACATATATCGTTCAACCGGCAAAATGACCGGTCGTAGTAGGTAAGACAGACTACAACTTTTTCTCAGGAAATAAACAATAAAAAAAGAAGTGAATATTGAAAAAAGTATTATAGGTATCTTTTAGGAAAAGTCGTGAAGTTTAAAGGTGAAGGTAATTACGTCGTATATAGGAAATTTTAAATGAAATTTTAAAAACGGTTATTTTGACCGGTCGTGGTAGGAATAGTGTTAATTCAAATGTAATTGCAATCTTTTTTGCAAGTAACTAGCATTCGTTACTTGATAGCTAAAGAACATCTAAAAATTATGGGCAATTATTGGTGGTAACGGTCTTATATTATATGCTGTTTATACAAAACACCAAATTAACAGTATATAACAATTATTTTTTGTAGTTTATGCAAATAGATATTGAAGATAAATAACGTAACTTATAAGTGAAGTTAAAAATTGACGGTATTTTTTTATACCTTATAAAACTTTATTTGGTTTCAATTGGGAGTGTAACTTTTTCCAGCAACTTTAACTTTACTTATTTAACAGATTTTATTAAAAACTGTGTTTTATAGAAGTAGAAAAAGTATTCAATGAATCACGAACAACTTTAGGTCAAGACTAACTTATAACATCAAAGAAAGTAAACAAAATGAACGTCACACGTTGCTAAGGTAAAGGGTTGGCGGGTCTTTTTGGACCCAGATAACATTTATTTTTCGTTCATTTTATTCCCCTATTTTTCAAAACGTGAATGTTTCTGGTATTTATTACGCATTCTGAGACTGTTTGAGAAAATGCTTTTAATAAAACTGAGAAATATTTAGAATAAAATTAAAATCATTGTGTCTTCTAACAAATGGATAAAACAAATATTCTACATTATTATTGTTTAGAAGTTTAAATATGTATTACAAAATGTAAGGTATGGGTCTAAAAAGACCCAGAAATCGAGTGTGCGAGTGTTAAAATGGCTAAGTGTTAAGTAACGCCCGATTAACATATAAGAATTATATTTTTGGCAAAACGTCTGCATGTATAAAAGGGTTTATTAATTTTGAAAATGGATCTTTCAAACTTTCGGGCGACAATATACGTTGAGACTCTGCTTAGCACTCTTGCAAATAAATCGATGTTGTCATACATATGTACATATGTGCATAACGAGTATCTCGTTGTTTCTATTACGATGAGAGATTGAGAACTAGAAAAAGAAGATATTTTTTTTCCGAGGCATTAGGTCGATCAATGTTGAAGTTGTCTATTAAGCATGGCGAGGGATGGCAGTTTAGTGGAGGGTTCGGACTTACCTCCTGGAGAAAGCAGCTTCGCAGTGCGTGCATCGGTATCTTCGATCTCCCGTGTGGAGTTTCACGTGTCGATCTCTGCTTCGTTTATGCTTGAACAATCTGGCACACCAGCTGCATCGATACGGCATTTGATCGCCGTGACTCTGTAACATTAAAACGAGTAATTGCTAATATTAATAATGTCCGTTGTATTAGCGATTAGCGTTGTTATTCCTGATGATCGGCAAAATTCGTCATCAGCAATAGTAGAATAGTGCTCTTAGCTCTTTTAAATCTAGTAGTAACGTCGATATTAGTTCTAATCTCAAGTGAATTCTAGAAATATTAGGCTTAAATCTAGCTCGAACAGTAGCATTTTTAATACTGGGTCCAGTGATACTAATTGTAATATATGTATACTACTGCTAATTTTAATAGCAGTTAATAGTACAAGTTGGAACTAGCAATGTAAGTTATAATGGTAGCTTCAGCAATACAAGTCCCAATACTAGTCCTACTTGTTCAACACCTAATAGTATCGTTAGTAGTAGAAGTTCTAGCAAAATCGGTTTTAATACTATCTTCAGTAGTAACTCTGACACCATCAATACTGTTTATCCTAATAGCAGCGTCAGTAGTTCACGTTTTACTAGTAATTTTATATTGAAATTAATAGTATATGTCTTGATGTTAGTACTGGCAGTACACGTTCTAATGTTAGACGTAGTATTGATTCTACATTTACTATATAATAGTATTTCTAAATATACAAATCCCAATAGTAATTTTAGTAGTACGAAACTTAGTAATTCTAGTTGTAGTTCTAGACTTAATACTTCCTCTAGCAGTGTTGATCCTAATACCAGCTCTAATACCACCTACGCTGCTCATATTAATAGCAGCTCCAATAATGTATCTTCTAACACTAGTTTTAGTAGCATGATCCTTGATATTATTTTCGGTAATATGTATAGCCTAATACTAGTTTCCACTGGTACACTAGTAGTAGTAACTCTAATACTAGTATTAGTAGTATTGACTCTAACACTTCCTTTAATAGTAGAAGGCTTAATGATAGCACTAGTAGTAGTCTTAATACTAGCTCTAGCCAGTAGAAGTCTTGAAATAGTAGTAGTTCAACCAATGGTTATAGACCTCAGTCTCGATACTATTTTGAATAGTAATATTATTTTCTACTAGTATAGTAGCAGTCCTAACTTTAACACTATACAATACTCTAACACTGTCGACTATAACACTTTCTTTAATAGTACAAGTCCTAATGATAGCATTAGTAGTAGTTTCAATACTCTAGCCAGTAGGAATCTTAAAATAGTAGTTGAATCAGTAGTCATAGATTCCAGTCTCGATACTATTTTGAATAATAATACTATTTTCTATTAGTATACTAGCAGTCCTAACTCTAACACTATATAATACTCTAACACTGTCGACTATAACACTTTCTTTAATAGTACAAGTCCTAATGATAGCATTAGTAGTAGTTTCAATACTCTAGCCAGTAGGAATCTTAAAATAGTAGTTGAATCAGTAGTCATAGATTCCAGTCTCGATACTATTTTGAATAATAATACTATTTTCTATTAGTATACTAGCAGTCCTAACTCTAACACTATATAATACTCTAACACTGTCGACTATAACACTTTCTTTAATAGGTCAAGTCTTAATTATAGCACTAGTAGTAGTCTCAATACTAGCTATAGCCAGTACAAGTCTTAAAATAGTAGTAGTTCAATCAGTAATTATAGCCCCCAGTCTCGATACTATTTTCTACAAGTATACTAGCAGTCCTAGCTCTAACACTATCGACTATAACACTTTCTTTAATAGTACAGATCCTAATGATAGCACTAATAGTAGCCTCAATGCTCTAGCCAGTAGGAATCTTAAAATTGTTGGTGAGTCAGTAGTTATAGCCCCCAGTCTCGATACTATCTTGAGCAGTATCAGTCCTTGTATTACTATTCCAATACTACCTGTCCCGCCGATCCTAATATTAACTCTAGTAGTAACACGTCTTAAGTCCTTCACGCTACCGTTGCCATGTAGCAAAGACACTAACAGGGAATAAATGACTCGACAATTAGAATGGTCGTTCCAACAACGTGACGAAAAATAATCACACGGTTCGCCGGGGCTGTCCGGTGCCGGTGGCTCATGGAGAACAAGGATCGACGGACAAGAAACTTCTCCGTTGGAATATTCCCCTCCTCCTCCTCGCCTTTGGCGGTGGTTGTCACCCAGGTAGATCACTGTGACCGATATGATCGCGAACGGGCCGGGTCATTCTCTTTGTTCAGCTCTTTTTTTTTTTGCCCAGCGAGACGCGATGCTCTCTTTTCGAGTCGGTGTGTTCGTCCAACGAAGTAAGCACGGCACGTACGACTTTCGAGACCGTTTCGTCGGCTCCTTTGAAGAGACAATCCGGACGGAAGGGCGAAGCGATCGTCTCGTCGTCCGCTGCTGAAGACCTCTTGCCCTGACAGCCGGAAGACTCGTCGATACGGGGAGAAAAATTCTCGCTCCGGAGGCACGCTGGGTATCAGAGAAAGCGACCAAGACGCCCCGACTCTCTTCTTCTTCCAAATACGATTGATATCAATTGCAGAGACAATGTCTATCGGAACCAAGAGAAGATTATGACGAGATCTTTCCAGAAATAGTCACAGTCACTGTATTTATTATTCGCTTGTTTAAGTCACGTGACGTTTGCGTCGAGTATTTCACAAGTTCATGGTTGCTCGATGCGTTGAAATTATTAAAACGGTGGACACAATTGGTCGTAAATATTTTGCTACGTCTCTAATAGTCATTTTTAGTCCTTTCTGGCGGTGGTACAAGAACACCTTCGAATCGTACATGACACATGGTTTGAAAAAGTCGAAAAAGTACTTCACATCGATACAAACGAAACTAAGAGAGTTAGGTGACTGTATATGTTTTTGTTAACATAGTATCTACTTCGCTAGGTATGAATTCTTCTTTTACAGTCTGTATTATAGGGATTTAATAGCATATTTTTAAGAACTTAAACCCAATTAGATGAGAACCGCAAAAGATAATTTGGTGAAAAACATCTGTACTGATGAAAAATAAGATACTTTGGATCACATAAGTCTGAGATACTACGATATTCTTTGATCCTGTAGGTGCCATGATCAGTGTAGGGATGACCATGGATCATGGAAATTATGTGGACAAAGTATCAAAATATTCATTATAATTCCACTTTTAATCGATAGTAATTCTGAACACGAATATCTGTCAATAAAAAAATACACGGTGTCTAATATTTACCAATGCTCCATCTGGAAGCCATATTTTATCAAAATTGGTTTCCTCGTTGATCATATTTTTATTTTTCATCGACGTTTCTTCGCCATTTCGAATGGTCGTGCCTTTCGATTCAGCAATGATTACGCAGGATTTGGATGATTTCGATTTCTCTTTCCGTTTGGTTAGAACCGGATGATTAGGCGGAGCCCCTGCAGCCTCGAAACGAAATTTATTTCCGTTATCGAGGTCGTTATCTGCCATCGGAGGCGAAGCGCGATTCAGTTCGCGTATGTAGAAGCGGCTTTTATCGAGGCTGAGAAGTCGTGAGGAACCCGATGGAAGGAGGAGAGAACCACCTGGATGAACAACCTGACCGGTACAACCTGTTATGGGGCCACGGTACAGATTTTGACCCGAAGATGACCCGCGGACGCCGACTCGGACGCGGAAGAGCGAGTCTCTAATGCCACCGCCATGCAAAACAGAAAAATTCGAATCGGCCACGCGTCCTCCGCGTCTCTCGAGGGTAAAAATTTCAAATACGGATGTAGAAAACAGTTAAAATCATGGGAATTACTTGATACGTAATCATTTCGGTCGTTAGAGATAAAAGTCTTGTGACTATTAAAAATAGGGCAAATTTTAATATTTTGATTGAAAGGATTTATCACTATGGAAGTAGAAAAATTAATTCTCAAGTCGAGATGTCGAGGGAAATAAATTTGGACAAGATTTCTGAATTTTAGTAAGGTTACAAAAATAAAAAACGAATTTTTTGGTTACATAGTTTACAATGCCGTAACATCAAAATTTTCAATCAAACAGGATCAAATTTTAACATTTTGATTGAAAGGATTTACCACTATGGAACTAGAAAAATTAATTCTCAAACTGAGGCGTCGAGGGAAACAAATTAAGATTCGTGCAATTTTAGGCAAGGTTACAAAAATAAATACTGGAACAAATTTTAGGTTATACAGGGTGTTCGACCACCTCTGGGAAACATTTTAATGGGAGATTTTAGAGGCCAAAATAACACAAAAATCAAGAATATTAATTTCTTGACTGAGACTTCGTTAAAAAGTTATTACAAAATTAAATTCCAAAATTCCTAATCGTTCTGGAAAAATTATTTTCGGTTGCAGGGGTCGACTACAATCATTTTTGGTAATTACACATACCCCCGAAATCCTACGTACTTTCGAGAAAAAAATTCCTTACCGACAATACAATGTCTGACTCTGACATTCCGATTCCCCTGAAATTTTAAAAAGTTTCAAATCATTCTGTAAAAATTATTTTTAGTTGCAGGGGTCAATTACAATCATTTTTCGTCAATAGACATACTCTCAAAATTCTACGCATTTTTGAGAAAAAAATTCTTTACCAAAAATATAATGTGAGGCCAGAAATGTCACTCCAAAATTTCATGCGAATCTTTAAAATGTCATAACTCCTGAACGGATTGGAGGATTTTGAAGTTTCAAAATGCAAACAATGCGTATTTTGGTGTAGAATATGTAGAAATTCTAACAATATTGAAAAAGTTGTTCCTTGACACCGTAAAGTGAGAAAAACCCCCTAAAGCTGGTTCAATTTTCAAACGGCCATAACTACTACAATAGTAAAGGTATCTCATTGAAATCTTTTTTCTCAAAAACAGAGCCCATAGGTACCTACAAAAAAACTATTAGACAACTTTTCTGTAGAGTGTCAAACAAATTTATTAAAAATCAAAATCGAATTTTTAAGAAAAATCGACAAAGGTGCCTAAATTTTTCGACGAAAAAAAGAAATTTCAAATCGTTCTGGAAAAATTATTTTCGATTGCAGGGGTCAATTAGAATCCTTTCTCGACAATAGATATACTCCCAAAATTCGACGCGCTTTCGAGAAAAAAGTTTCTAAACGAGAATATAATGTATGGCCAGAAATGTTCCCCTAAAATTTCATGCGAATCTTTAAACTGTCATAACTCCTGAACGGATTGCAGGATTTTGAAGTTTCTAAAGGCAAACAACGCGTAATTTGGTGAATAATACGTGGAAATTTCAAAAATATGCGAAAAGTTGTTCTTTTACCTCTTAAAGTGAGTAGAACCCCATAAAAATGGACCAATTTTGAAACAGCCATAACTGCTACAATAGTGAATATATTTCATTGAAGTTTTGGGGGGAATTAGAGTTCATTGATACCTACAAAAAAGTATTAAACAACTTTTCTGTATAGCGCTAACCAAATTTATTAAATATTTTTAAGAAAAATCGACAAAGTGTAGGTGTCTAAAAATTTCGATGAAAAAAAAATTTCCAATCGTTCTGGAAAAATTATTTTCGGTTCGGGGGGTCAATTACAATCATTTTTGGAGAATAGACATACCCCCCAAATCCAGCGTGTTTTCGAGAAGAAAATACAGTACAGGTGGAACTTTAAACATTAATAACTTTTTAACGAAGCCTCCATCAACAATTTTTCCCAGGGGTGGCCGAACACCCTGGATAGTTTACAATGGTTTAAGATCAAAATTTTAGTCTTGCAGAATATTATTGGGGTTTGGTCTGCCAGTAAACGTGTTAATGGAAAGTAATCATCGCTAGGTTACCTGTTCGTGCTTCTTCAGATAGCTCAACCGTGGAAACGTGCGGTCGCAAAATTGGCAAGGATAAGGCGCGGTAGCGTTGTTTCCATCAGCGTTGACCCCGACATCGGCGTCGACCTCGGGCTCCGACGGGAAGCTGGCCGACGTCGGCGTCGCGCAAGACGATGGCGTCTCTCCGCCGCGTCGCGAGTTCGGACCGCCATCCTCGCTGTGCCAGGACGAACTTCCGGTACCCAAGGCCTCTGCAATCGACGAACAAACTCATTTAATAATTCTTTTTTTTATCGAGGAACGTATTACTACTATTTATTAGAAATGTGTCGGAAGACTTCCGGTACCCAAGGCCTCTACAATCGACGAACAATCTCATTTAATAATTTTTTTTTTCATCGAGGAATGTATTAATACTATTTTTCACAAATGTGTCGGAAGACTTCCGGTACCCAAGGCCTTTGTAATCGACGAACAAACTCATTTAATAATTTTTGTTTTCATCGAGGAACGTATTAATACTATTTATCAGAAATGTGTCGGAAGACTTCCGGTACCCACGGCCCCTACAATCGACGAACAAACTCATTTAATAATTTTTTTTTTCATCGAGGAATGTATTAAATACAAATTGTATCCTCGCCAATTTCAGAATATCGAGCAACACGAACTTATGAGACGACCAAATAGACTCTGATAGATTTAATCCCAGTTAAGACGCTATCCTTGGTGGTTCTATTTTTCACGGGTCTCAGGAAGTGTATCGACTGAGGAGCGACGTCGATGTCACTCACGGACCGTCGGGCCGGCGATCTTTTTCGGAACAGGTTTATAAATGTCGTAAGAGAGAGAGACCAGTTCCATAAATGACCTTACGAACTCGATGCGTACATGTACGAACATTACGAGGCCTGCTGACCTCACCTTGCCCGTTATATGTCCCTTTATATTGTTTTCGTAACGAGTGCGTATGCGGTGAAACTGGTACCATTAACCCGTGCCACGAGAGATCCTCGAGGACTGGTCTTCCGTGGCTAGAGAAAAGAAGACATTCCCGGGGAATCGTTGGATCGAGTTTTGCTATCGTTTTATCCTTGCATTTCAACCCTGCTATCCGGCTCCGCATCACGTTAACGTACGCCTGCATTTTTGCACCGTAACGCGAAACGATGCCATTTCTAGGATAGACAATACGGAAGACATGTTCGGTAGAGTGGTCCTTAGCTACATATTGGTACTTCGTCGATTACGTTTGCTTCGGTTCGAGACGATTTTAGGGAATCGATGGTCGAATTGGGGGTGAGTTTAATGGACCTATGGAATTTCTGGGGCACCGAGAACGCGTCGTTGTCGAGGAGATACGGTGTCGTTCTGTTTGTAGGATAAGAACCGATCCTGGCAACTTTAAGAACAGTGGTCTTTGGTTCGAGGGTAGTCGAAGAGTCCATTTTGGCAACGAAGGGTTTTAGGTTTTCTTTTAGTAGGTCATCGCGTGAGTAACGTTTTCTGAAATTAATACGTTTATTTCAGACCATCGATGTATCCAGTATTGCTTTCTATGACCTTTTTACCACCTATCGATTAATACTTTATTTCTATCTGCTAAATATTCTCGGAAATTAAAAATTCAATTCGATGCTAATTTTACGTTTCCACTATCGTTGAAGTAGGTGGTAATCGTTAATAGAAATTAATAATATTAAAACAATTAGTTCAATATTGTACTTGTATTCTGACAATTGTCCTATAATTAATACACACTCGTTCATGATGTAACCTATTTCCGACCACGAAGTATTTCTATTACAGTAATCCCCCCTATAACACGGTACTCTTATAACGCGTTTTCATATTACGCGATTTCATGTCCCTCTTATAACACGTGTTTTCCCCCATATAACGCGGGGATTTCCCACGTTATATTTCTGTAGTGTGAAATTTATGATTTGTATTTCACATAGCTCCGACAGCGAATAAACATGTAATAAAACTGTTTTTGGAATTATGTAATTTATTTGAAATTAACTGTTTTTTAGTTACGCGTGTATAAGTTTTTTAAATAAAATATTCTTAGTTTGATTTTAATAAAAAGCATAAAACCCCTTTAACGAGAAAAGTTAAACGTAAATCATTTGTACATAACGCGTTATACGGAGTCACACGAGCGCGTCGTACGAGCATTCTTGTACCAATCTACCGTGTTATAGGGGGCATTACTGTATAACGAAAACAAAGGAAAGTTTTTTTTTTAATTTTATTTTACGATTCTATGTATACATATACATATTTCTGGTTTGAGTGAATGGCTATTCATATATTTTTATCGTGAATTTCGTATTTTTAATGATAAAATAACGTAACTGTATTTCTTTAGGATTTGTCAACTTTCATGCAAACGACCAAGTCTCAACGTATATGTTAATTTACTTGGAAATAAATGAACTATCATAAGAAATAATGTACAATATCAAATTGAAATGTTGAAGAAAATAAATCTAGACAGGACTCCCGAATTTTAACGAGGCTGTAAAAATGAGTTCAGTGACAAATTGTGGATAGTTTCCAATTGTCTAAAAACAAAGTGTCGTTTTCGTGGACAATTTGAGGGATATGACGTGTGACAGTCGATCTATTAAACAAAGCATAATAAGTAAATCGGTACTAATAGTTTGTTCAGCACATTTATTTTACGTATACGTACAATAATAACAATTTTTTTTATTACGCTACATGTCGATAAGTAAAAATTGGTGAAATTCTTGTGGAAATGATTGTCTGTGAAACGATTATCGATGATAAAATTGTTGGCTAGGCAAAGATAATCTAGACAAAAGGATACTTTGGAGCGAGAACGGTAGAAGAAAGAAGACGCGATAGAAGAAACCGGTGACGAAGGAGACATCCGGACGAGGCGAGTCGAATAATTAATAATTGCCAAGAATGAAGACTCCCACCGGCTTGGATAGAGCAAAGTGGCCCTGGTAAACGGTGGAAATGACTCGGCTAGTTGGCCGTTTCCTCATTTGCCCCGGTCCACGCTCTGGATTCGACACCCACCACTGAATTTAAGAGATTTTGCGGAATCCGCGCGGCTCGGAACGGAGAGGAGAGACACCCAACGAGATCGGATCATGGACTCGACGTGGATCCGCTTAAATGGCTCGCATCCTCCACCCACGTGTCCGCCACTTTTCTAGTTTTCCGCGTGCACGCGCGGCGGCGTACGCTAGCGTCCATAAATCACCCGGACATTTTGTTCGTTCGTTTTGGAAAACGCAGATTAAGGTACAGATACAATTTTTCGAAGCGATTTCATTATCTCTAATAACCATAACCTTTCTTTTCTCGGGTCACATACGTCAGCGTCCATAAGTTACCGGACATTTTGCTCGTCCTTCTTGGAAAATGCAAATTTAAAACAATCAGCGTCAGACCTTATTGTATCACAATGTGAAACATATTTATTCTTTATATCTTGTCAATGGGATTTTTACTAATATATCTGTGAGGTTTTTCTGATTAAAATAAGACCAAACACGATATAATTTGGATCGTAATTGCATATTGAGTTCTTCGAGTACTGTGCCGGAGTCACTTTTGACTCATCACTAGACTGCGAACCTTTATGCAAATTTATATTTTTATTGATAGAATCAATGAAACGTGGGCTTTGCAGAGGGCTGTCTCAACCCCTAAATATAATAATCCGTATCTTACGTATTTCTAATATTTTTGATATTAAATGCATTCTGTAGTTTTGTAGGAATTAAAATTTCCCATAAATGCATAGACGTCCACTAATAATAATTAATATTTGCATCGACGGCCAGGTTTCGGGACATTACTCCTTTTGATCAGTTATCGGTACATTTACTTTAAATCAAAGTCGAAGGAACTTGGAAGCTTTCTCGAGGCGTTTCATCGACGGCAACCCTAAGATGCCTGGCTCGATCAGGTGTTCCTTCAATTGTGCAACTCGCATCGTGCACGTATCGGGGCACTCGCCCAATTGGCATCTCGCATGACTCACGCACGCCTTTTCTTGCAGAAAGAGACACGGCGGATCGGGTGAGCATGCAATAAATATAAACCGAGCTACCGAAAGCACCCAGCCGCGATCCCCTCGTGTCATCGGGAATTTGTCTACGATCGCCAACAAGTTGGAGCAAGACAGACAGTGTGTCCCGTTCATGGAAAAACGCCCCAACCTTCCCACGAAACGAAACGTAAATTTACTCTAAACAAATCTAACCCGTTGGGTCATTTCTGACCCGAGCTTAAACTCTATATTCTCGAACGAAATTTTTAATTTCAATTACGTTTTGTGGGATAAAAAATTACCTAGATTTGTTGTTCGAGGATCGAAGAGTAAATGAGGTACCCTTAAATCCTCGTTTCAACCCCCTAAACTCTTGTCTAATGTGAAGAGAAGAAAAATTCTGAATTACACATAATAAGTATCTATGCTACCACTGTTTATATCTTCAAATATATGTTTGTCTCGCTAAAATTGTATGGTTTGTTTACACTATGACTGATGAAAGAAAAATAATGGTGTTTCAAGAAGTTTTGGTCCGCGATTGACGAAATAAAAATTATCGATCGAAATTATTAGAATTTAGAAACGAGACGAGCGATCAAGGCAACAACCACCCCCGGAAGAGTGTAAAATTAGCGATAAATGACCAGTTAGATCATAATTAGGACAATGCAAATGCTGTTAAAATATTCGTTTTGCAAGAAATACAAATACCAAGTATGAGAATTGTTTATTTACCTTTTATCTTGCGTTTTCTACGTGTTCTTTTGTATTTATTTTTATTTTATTATATAGTTGCAACTTCGTTCCTCTATTTTTATTGTGTATTTTTGAAGATTAAAGTTACTTATTTCGAAAACGTGTAAACTACACTTTCAACGAGGATGTTTACGAGACAAAGTGTGGCACGTTCAACAGCCGCGTGACAATATCTGGTCTTTATCGCGAGAAATATGGTTCAGGATACGTTCCAAGTCTCAAAGAGAAGGTGACAACATTGTTAGAAGAAACGAGAACGTTCAAAGATCACGTTCCAAAATAAGTGAGACCTCGATCCTCTGCAACCCTCTGAAAACAAGGGATTAACGCGTTCTTTAACACGCGTTGCATATTTCTGACGCATCGATTCTCCACACAGGCCAATGTCACGTATCCGTGACAGTGACAATCGACCATTTTATGTCCGTAGAAACTATCGTATTATATGAAATA